GGCAGTGGGGTCCCCTTTTCTATTTCCCAAGTTGGCAGGGGAGCAGCCACCTGGGGCTGACAGCAGGAGCCCCGGCTGTACCCGGGCAGCCACCTGGGGCTGACAGCGGGAGCCCTGGCTGTACCAGGCGGTAGAGTGCTGTCCTCAAGCTTGCCAGGTATTTATTGGCATTGATCTCCTGGCATTGGAAAAGGTTCAGAAAAGGGTAACACAAAGGATTAAGGGTTTGGAACAGCTGCCATATGATGAGAGATTAAAAAGACAGGGACTTTTCAGCTCAGAAAAGAGGAGACTACATGGGGATATGATAGAGGTTAATAAAATATTGACAGGTAAGGAGAAAGTGAATAGGGAAAAATTATTTGCTTGCTCCCATAACATAAGTAGTAGAGGGTCACCAAATGGAATCAATAGGTAGCAGGTTTAAAACAAACCAAAGGAAGTTTTTCTTCACTCAGGACACAGTCAACCTGTGGAACTCCTTGCCAGAGGATGTTGTAAAGACCAGGATTTTAACAAGGTTAAAAAAAAGAACTAGATACATTCATGGAGGTAACATCCATCAATATTTATTAGTCAGGATGGGTGGGGATGGTGTCTCTAGTCTCTGTTTGTCTGGAAACGGATGACGGGGTGGATCACATAATGATTCCCGGTTCTGTTCACTCCCTCTGGGGCACCTGGCCTTGGCCACTGTCGGCAGACAGGACACTGGGCTGGATGGACCTTTGGTCTGACCCAGTCTGGCTGTTCCTATGTTATTCCCCAACCCAGCAGAACAAACATTCAGCAAAGTGCAGGAGACACAGGGCAGCTGGAACCATGGTATATGCTGCTGCTATTACTCTCTGGGCAGCCACACAGGGCTGACGGGAACCCCTGGCTCCAGACTAGTCTGTTCCATGCCCTGCACAACCATCTCCAAAGCAGCCTCCAGAAAACCCTGCTGCGAGGTCAGTAGGCAGGGACGCGACCAGCAGGTCCCTTTCAATCCCTCCCGAATTCCGCTGGGCCCTCACGCTGTTTCCATCTTCTGTGCGCACTCCAGTAGGCATCTAGGGGCTGGACGTCCCCGGCTGCTGGCCGCTGCCCGGGGGCCGGGGCCCCGGAGCGACTCTGAATTCCCTCCCTTTCCTCCCCCTCCCCCGGGAGCCTCTGCAGCCAGTTGGCAAGTGTGGCGCCGCTGAGGGGAACGGAGCCGAGATGTGACACGTTGGACGGGTGCCCGGAACCTTGGAGGCAGCTCCAGGCCACTCGTCCGTGGCGGCAGCAGCAGCGGCGCTCGGCTGGCTGCACGGAGGAGGAAGGCGGAAAAGGAGAAAAAGGTTCCCAGGGCTGAACCTGTTCAAGGCTGGGTCCATCCCCCACCTGGGTGGGGTTGTCCTGGGAGGCTCAGTGGTGCTGGAACTAAATCGTGGCTGGGGTGCCGAGATGTCCCCCCTCTTATACCCCGTTCACCTCGTCGCCCACTGGGTTGCCGACTCTCCCAAACTAGACAGACCCAACGCGATTGCTGCAAAAGGCTTCTGCCCTGCCTGGTCCAGGCGAGTTGGGAACTTTTGCTGCAGCTGGAGGCCGGGGGTGGGACCCCCAGGGGCCAAGGCCAGGAGCAGAGCCTGGGGCCGGGGGTGGGACCCCCAGGGGCAGCAGAACCTCCCAGGCAGGTGGGCTGGACCCAAGGGACTACAGGCTGCAGACTCCATAGAGACAGCAGGTGGTAGGACCCCCGGGGGTGGCAGGGAGCCTGGAGGGGCCGCTGGAGCCCGTTACACAGGGCTGGTGGTGGGTCGGCAGTAGGACCAGCCCCGAATGCAAGGAAGCCAGGTGCAAAATGGACCCGTTTAGTGACTAGCCGACGGGCCTGGGGTCCGGCCTCTATCGCTTAGAAATAAAACTCTCGTGCCCCACAATTAAGGCCTCCCCCCTGGGAGCAGCCTCCCGCTTTTCGAAGGCGCCCGGAGGCTGCTGTCCCAAGCGCAGTGAAAACAGCCCCCCTCCCCCATGCGGCTGTTTGCTGCGACGCGAGAGGCTGAGGCCCCATGTGGCACCCTACGAAACCCTCCACCTGCTTCTCCTTCCAGCCTGGCACCCTGCCCGGTCCTCCCGGCCTGT